ACGGATGGAAATGTATGACCGGAGATGCCCGGTTCCGATTTATCGAGTGTCCATTAACCTCGGGCCATAAAGGCTTCTTTGTGTACGGCGTTGGCTTTAGGCACTTAGCCTATTAAACCTTCCGCGAGGGTGCAAATTGATTCGATGGAAATGTAATTTCATTGCCGTCGAATTATTTTGTATGAAGGAAAAGCGAAACAGAATGTGGAACGCGTATAAAGTTACGTCATTATTTGTTTAACCCTTTATAGTTCACAGGAGCGTTCGTGACATTTAAACATTCAAGCTGGAGTTTGAAAGTTACAAATGTTATCAATTTTTCATTTCTAAATTAAGAACTTGACGTTTCAATTAAGAAAGAATCGACCACGATCGCTAATAACTGTAGTTAATAACGAGCCCTTTATTAACGCTGAACTTTTAGTTAATAACGTTTTATGGAAAACAAATTTTAATGTTTCGGAAATATTGACCTATAAAAGGTTAAATGATTAAAGTAGGCTTTAAAGGGTTAAATTATTAAAGTAGGCTTTAAAGGGTTAAATTATTAAAGTAGACTTTAAAGGGTTAAATTATTAAAGTAATTGTTCTCAAGTGACTAATTCAAAGTGAAATTAAAATTGAGTGGAACTAGGGTTAAAATTCAGTCTGAAATATTACTCTTCCGTATGATTAGAATTCTTCTCATAACCTTACAGATATTTCTAAAGCGGTATTTCGAAACAGAAAATCATTAGTGAATTATTCAATGCATACTAAACGCAGAAATATGTTTCAACAAACCGGTACCGGGTTTTCGCGAATACTCGAAGGGAAATCAACGGTACGTTCACGTTCTAAGCTAATTAGTGTGTTAGTCACGGTGATCGCGGGATCAGCGGATCCTTCCAACGGCTGGAAAGTGAAAGAACAGAGACCAAAACGAAGTTCCATGATGGGAGCTAGGTTCGATGACACGGTAATGTAGCGCCAGACTTGCCAAAAGCACAATGTAAAATAGATGTAATGTATATGAGGAAAGTCGAGTAAAATTATCTAAATACCGAGAGGATGTACTGTGTTAGTGTGTAAATTGTGTTTCAATGTTAGTTGTTTGGAACGAGTCTCACCTGCCGAGCTTCGCGTCGTCTTCGTCCACTGGTTTCCGGCGGGATCGTTCGCAAACATAATATATAATTCCTGCAACACGAATACATAAAATTTCCTTAAAAATCGAAGACAAAAATAATGCATAAATCTAAATCTAAATATCGTTGCAAATATTATGACTATAAAATCAATTTTAGAATAACCTTATTTCTTTTATTTTATAATACTCTAAATATTGATCCAAATAATATTATTATCGTAAATATTATTACTGAAAAATCGACCTGAAAGTAACTTCATTTTATTTTATAGTACTATAAATATAAATATTAACCTAAATATTGTTGTTGTTATAAATATTATTACTGAAAAATCAATATCAATATGACTTCATTTTATTTTATAGTAAATATAACTGTTAACCAATATAATATCATTCTCGTAAATATTATATTGAAAAATCGATATTACAATTTCATTTATCTCGTTTTACCTCAAAATTTATGCAAAGAAAAGATTGTATATTTTACCAATGTATGAATTTAATTATTTCAGGCGACGGTATCGCGCAGTCGCGCAATTGTGTTACAATTTCGCTCAGAGTTGCACATGCTGTTTGCGATAAATTCACCTTGCAATTTCACGAATTTATCCGTGTAATTCCAGATAAGTTCGCGTTAGAGTTTCGAGTGAATACGCGATGCGGTTTTAGATAAACTCGCGTTGAAACGCGCGCTAAATTCGTTTTGCAATTTCAGTTCGAATTACATGGCCGTTCCGAACGGATTTATTCGGGAGTTACGTTGCGATCGCTGATAAATTATCGCGGTAGCCAATAAGCAACGTTGTTGCTCGACGGTTAAATTACTACGGGAAAAATGAGTTTCGTTTGGTTTCTTACCTGTCTTATTGGCGCAACAGCAGATCACGTCGATCAGTATGATGATAATGAACAGTACCGCGATCACGATACCGATTATGGCTGCGCTCGATATTAGAGGTCCTTGATGATGGACTACGGTGGTGTCTATACCTTGAAGAATGAAAATATTTCATCAATACGTGGTCGTGTTCCTCAAACGTGTGTTGCAATCCGTTAGTGCAAAAGCAGTACTTAACGATGCTTGGTGATGCTAAGGAAACGAGTCATTGTCACTTCACGGAATGAAAACGTACTGGTAGGTTTCTTTCGATAAATAATACACTTTACATATTTAAAAGAAAAACTACTGCACTTTAGAATATGTAACGAAAGCTTGCGAATCATTTCGAATATTCGTTTTATGAATTAAAATCAACGGTGTGCAGGTACTATTGTGTTTTATTAGTAATGATCAGAGATTTTGCGATATTTTAGTCACACAGGATTGTTTAATGTATAACATTCGATAAATCGGTGATTTTATTTGAAAGGAATAGAAAGTTGATGGGATTTTAGATTCTGAAAGTTTTCTTGCATTGTGGAATATTATATTGCGAAATAAATTTGTTATTGAAATGGTTTCTGCGAAAGCGTTGTGAGCGTAGCTTTAAATAGCCATTATTTGATTTTGCGCTATTTGTAAATGTTAAAGTCAACTTCTACTACTACTTGATACAGTCAAATAAAATTTCATTTAAATGCACTAAGTACTCGCACACTTTTGCTTAATTAGTCAAATAACACGTTGCGCTCGGAATGTACTTTGAAGTATCTCTTTTATTATAATACTGCAGCGAATAAAATACGTTTAAATTTTGTTTTTCTTTCACCCTTTGTGTTCTGAATTATTCTTTTAATATTCACTGTTGTCTGTATTTTATTATTTGATGTTTTTCAATGTAATACATGGTAGATATAAATAGTTTTATAATAACTGCATGTAACCGTAATTTAAATGAAATCGAAGATTTAAAGAAAAGTTACTTTAAAGTGGCCTCAGAAAACGAATGTTTATTTCCGTTTAAGTTAATGATACATATTTATGCCTCAATGATGTAAAAAGTATTTATACACCTGTACCACAGTAATTCCAATAAATATGTTTACATTTAAAATAATTCCAGGCAATAGATAATCAATTCAATTCAAAATACTATCACATACATTTACGTCACAATAATTAAAAGTACTCCCGATCATAAGAATTCCAAAATATTAAAAATACAACGATCGTAAACAACAAAATCCAGTTCACAAAGGGTTGAAACCAATTCCAATCTCTCAATGAAGTTCTATCACGTTCCACGTGTTACATCACCAAACACGTTACGCGGACGATTAATTTTAGTCTCCTGAAAAGAAACAAGATCGGCGGGTGGGTTCTGGGGATGTGCCAAAAATCCGTTTTCATCAAAAGCGTATAGATACATGTAAGGAACCAAAAAACAAAAAGAAAAAGAGAACAGGAGAAAAAACAAAAAAAATAAATTACAGTAGA